GTATAACAAGGAAAGTGTTGGATTGGAACCCATAGGGTGCAAGATCAATAGGAAGATCACGTGGGTGAAACCTGGAGAAGAATAACAGAAATTGATGCACAGAAAAGTTGGAAGCAGGAAGACATGGAATAACACCAGGAGGCTAGCTAAGGATAAGGAAATGGGGAAAGTTTTGGTTCGTGGCCTATATCCTGATACAGGGGTGAAAAGGCAATGATGATGATGAACTTGACCTCTATTGCAGGAGAACTAGGGCATGGGTGGGGTAAAATGGGACTCTCTGTCCCAATTCTCCTGACCAAGCGTCCCAGTTATCCCCACTTTCTCCAACTGATACTGGCGGTATGCGGGGTTCAAGCTGAGTCTTTAGCGGGTTTGCGCTAAAAATAAGCCTGTCATGTTTTGATAGCGTGATCCACAGAACTGGGACGATCGCTGGTGTTGTCGGTGGCACGGGTGTAAGTGTAAAAGTCATATGTGTTTGTACAGAAACTGTCTGAAGTCTGAAGTCCAGCGTAAGTATTATCTTCTCTGCAACGCCCTTACTGATTCCTCAGTTCTTGTAAAACGAACTTTGGTCTGTTGCGCGGTCCTGATATTCTGGTTCAAAGGGACTCCGAGAGACGCATTTTAAAATATTGTTGGAAGAACTAGGTGGTAGCCTGGATCGGTAACAGTATACGCCACATATGTCGTTCTGGTTATGCTTTCCGATTTCCGAAAAAAAGAATTAAGAGGCGGGTTCGACTCTCGAGTGAGGATGATTTTTAGAAATAGAATAGGCCTACCCCTACTCCTGTCTCTAGGTTAAAATGTTTGTCCTACCCTACCGTCCAGTACAGGTTGGCCCTAGGAAGGGCGGAGACCAGCCCACCTCCTAATTGATAAGCCTTTAACTTTAAATGTAAGTTGTAGGCTTACATGCCTTTGACTTGGATGGCAACATTGTTAATTAGTTACTATAGATGAATCGTTTTTCCCCCCTTGAGATCCACTTTATTATTACATTATGTATTGCCAGACGTATATATTTTAGGGGGCGCTTCATATTAGGCCTAGCTCAGTTGGTATCAGGCTGTACTAATATTATGGAGCGGGTATGGTCATTGTTTGAATCCCCAGTACGACGCATTCTGAACATGGATTGTTTTTGAGGAGTTGTTTATAGACTAGACTCTCAACTATCTTTTGAATCGGATATGTTGAAAGGGGCGTTAAACGCAATTGCAACAACTATGAGATCTTTAAAGCTAATATGCAAATTCTTTAGCCTACATGTTGCGCTATGCCTCGATTTAGTTTACCGAAAGGGGCGAGATTTTCACCTCAATCCTCGTTCCCATCAGGGTCTACCAGCTGGGCTATCAAAATATAGGCCTAAAATTTAGTCCAAAATGTCAACGTGAGACAAAATATAAAATTATGAGCTCCGTAGTCAAGCAACTTCCTGACACAAAAAAGTGAAATAGCTCCCCCTAAAAGCACGGTGCTCAGGAGGGTTCCTAAGCATACATTTAAACAAAGAGTGAGTTGACGTGAACCTTAGTAAAGAGGTACAGGCCCTGTTAACATTCTAAATGACTGTTACCTCGGGGGGGGGGGGGGGGGGGGGGGTTTGCAATGGAAGAGTGCTCAGCCACGCAGCTTTCCAGTTTTGAAAGCAACTGTTTGCCGCTTTGAGGGAGCCTAGACTCGATGCCGCTCGATTACCTAATTGATAGTGACACAATACTCCGCTGTCTGACATTATTTATAGCCTCTGGCGCATATATTATTGCAAAGCCAGCAATGAAGAACAGTGTTTAAGTCAATTAAATAAAGCTACTTAATTAAAAAAAGACGAAACATTAGCCAACCAATTTATAAGTTTACGTCGGTAAACAAAGGGTTAGCTAGCTAGATCATTGCATTTATTTGACACAATAGCAGCAGTCGGGTTGTTTACTTTACTTACTTTTATCCGCCGCTTCTACCCTTTTGAGTGTCGCGGGAAAAAAGAGACGTCTTTCGGCCACCAGCTGGAGAGCTTGGGTCAGGGGGATGCAGTGAGTTGTTAATGTTTCCTTGACTCCATCTATCCGGGTCTTTCTCCGTCGTCTCTAGCCTTGTTGCCATCGATTTTTTTCTCTCATGTAGGCACGTTGTGTGTTGGTACATGTATATGTCCGAACCATTTAATTTTGATTCTTTGGTGTTGGATCTGATATAACAGGACTTTTTCTCTGGTCCCACCATCCCTGTTATATATCAGGTTTCCACTGTCAATTCTGAATGGTTGGCTCTACTTATACTGAGATGAGACACATGTTGATGTTGCTTGGAATCTGTGCAGAAATATTGGGAGTTCTGTCACCCCTTTCATGACATAGAGTTTTTTCAACTTTTACTGCTCCCAAATTTTGCCAGCCAGGGTAGTAAGCAGTTTTAGTCATTTTGTGGTAGCTTTCAAAAATCAAATTTTATATGACAAGTACATTTTCATGATGGGGGTTTTAAATCTTTCATTAGTTTTCTGATTAAATTCCATAAATCCTGTGTGGTACATTTTAGGATGTATTATTGTATGAGGATGACATCTTGGCTGACAATATTAGACATACAGTGTGCTGGAGTTGTCATGAAGGGGAATAGTTAAAATCAGAGGAATTTTGTCAATACTTAATTATTTTTTTAAGTCAACCATTTTCTCACAACTTATTACATGTATTTGTGAAGCGGCGTGGTGAAATCAGGCGCTCGTCAAAATAATAATACAATTTAAAAAACTGACATTTTTCTGCCAGTTTGGCAATTTTTATCAAACTTTTGTTTTTTGGCTTAAAATCATTGTTATCCAAATAAGAACTTTATGGAATCAACAATAACTCCATTATTGCGGGTTTGGAAAATGGGATTGTGTTTTTAGAATAGTACAAGACGTAATGAAACGTACGGGATAGCCTCGCAATAACCGAGCTGTTCAAGAACGGGTTTTAAAGAAACTCGCCAGCAGTTCATGGGGACTAGACAAACAAACTCTGAGAGCTTTATACCTTGGTCATGTCCGATCTTCCCTGGAATACAGCAATAGCCTACTCACTATGTATAGTACAACTACTTGCAATACCCTTGACAAGGTAAGAATAATACCCTTCGTTTCATAAACGGTGGCTTGAGATCTACACCTACCGCTGCATGTGAAATTCTTTGAACCCCTGGGAATTCGCAGAGATAAAGCAGTTTTGGAGCTCCATGAAAGAACCAAAAGAATGTGCACCAACCACCCAAACAGGAAATTAGTAGAAACATGGAACCAAAGAAACAACTTCAACAAAAATCAGTCATGCATCGCATCACACAACTAAGGGAGAGCCACCATCTACCACAAAACAGAAGAGAAACCAAAAGAGTCAACCAAAACATCCCTCCTCACAACTCTATGGAAAAACCAATCATTACAACTTCTCTCAGAGACAATAGCACACAGTCTTCAGACCCCGTGAAGTTGATGCTTGCATCACATCAAACAATCGACAGCTATTCAGATGACTGGATACACGTCTATACAGACGGCTCAGCATTCAAAGGCACAACCAAAGCCGGATATGGAATACTAATACAGTAACAGATGGAAGTTCCAATGAGATCTCTGCAGCCTGTGAAGAGAAATGTAACAACTACGACGCAAAAATGATAACAATTGAAACAGCACTATACCATCTCCGCACAGTTTTTGACACTCATCCAAACAAAACACAGAGTATAGTGATCTTTACTGACTCACTATCAGTCTTGCAAGCAATAGAAAATGACCATCATCTAAACGAAGACTTGGCACATATACTGTTTGGCTCCCATCACCTGATAACATCCTGTAGCGCCAACCTGGTGATGCACGGGATTCCCGGACACTCAAACATACCTGGAAATGACAGAGCAGACACACTGACCAAAAGGGGATCTAGACAGGAACGGCCCAACATTCCAACTTCATACAACACTATAAAACAAATCATTAAAAGCAACAGCAAACAAGATTGGATGAACAGATGGGCCTTGGGAAAGACAGGCAGAGCAGTTTTCAAACATATGACTACAACAAAGTGAAATGACAATATCAACCACCTTCAGAGAAAGAAACAGACCACGATCTTCCGCCTATACGAACAGAACATATACAGCTCAACTTTCACTTGAACAGAATAAAACCAGAACTTCCCCCAATGTGTCATTTGTGTGACTATGCATATGAGACAGTGGGACATCACCTTTTCCAGTGTACAGCTCTAAATGACATCAGAGCTACACTTCTCCCTCCGAGACCTAACTTTGGCATCACACTCTACGGCACATTATAGCAACTGCAGCAAACCTGCACTTATCACTACATGGCATTGGACAGAAGGGCGAGAGCCCAGATGTTGCTGGATCGATAACAACAACACACCACCACCAACAACAACCAGGGACAGGTTGATGTTGATCTTCATGTCGTAGTTGTCACATTCTTCGTTTAATCTAGTGGTGTGGTGTTGGAGAATTCGTTCATCTTTGTGTGCAAGGCTTTGGTCATCATCGAAGAGTAATTCATTTAGCTAGGGCGTCTGGTTCTGCATTGACCTCTTTTGTAATTATATCCATATATAATTTACGATAACAAATTATGTTAAATAGTAGTGGTGATAGGACACAACCTTGTCTTATTCCGGATGTTATCTCGAACCATTCTGTGAGTCCCGCTTACGTTCTTACCGTACTTATAGTTATATTGTGTCCCTCAGAAAGTGATAAGATTTAGTTTACTCTAAAGCCTATCGTCAGTTTTTTTCCTCAGATATTCTGTAGTAAGAGCGGTGAACCAAGAATTCGGTAGGAATGTAAGTAACGATCCGCTGAACTAGAATTTAATTTAATCAGTGACGCACGTCTCGCGAACGTTGAACAAAGTACTTGACTTCGGAACACCTCTCCAATTTCAACCTTTTCGAGAGGTCTGCGGCCGCCGCCCCCTTGGCACTTCCGGTTCGAAGGTCGGAAAGAGAAGCCTCAGAGCATAAACCAGGATTCGTTCACCCACCGACGACTCAGCACTACGCAATAGGTCACCGAGCTTCTAGACTATTGCCATTGCATTGTGCATCAGCTCTGTGAGCACATTCACAATACACGAGGTCTAATAAAACAGTCTTGTACTGTCACACAAAGCTAGATCTTATTAGAACTAAGTATGGCTAATGTTGGTCGCATTTTTTCCTCTTTTGCTCGTTCTGTCGTGCTTCAGTCATGCAGAGCAGATGGGAATGTGCCTAGGATTGCATGCCAAAGGCTCTATTCTTCAGCAGGTCAGTCAAGATGAAAGTTGAGTTTAGTTTGCGAACTTTGTCCTATTTTACTTATTCCATCAGAATACTTGCATCTTTATAGACTCTAGGCTTAACTTCTTTACTCTTGTCTTGTATAATTTTTTTTTTTTTCAGGCAAACAACAACATGATCATCTTTGTCTTTGTCCATATCCATGAGAACTCCTGACCTTGAGCCTGAGCAATTTGTGTCACGATGCGGTGGAATCAGGCGCTCATCAATTTTAATTTTTGGGCAAAGGGAGTTAGGCCTATTCATTTAGATCTAGATTCTAGGCTAGATCTAGAATATAGATCTAGATCTAGATCTAGATCTAATCTAGATTTAGAATCTAGATTTAGGTTCTAGATTAGATCTTTAGCCAATCATTTTAAATAAATTTAAGGCCGGCACTATTTCTCCGAACGTTCGGGAAAATAAAGCTGGTCACTATTTCTCCGAACGTTCGGGAAAATAAAGCTGGGCACTATTTCTCCGAACACTCTGAAATCACATCCTTTCTCGCAAATTTCGGATATTATAGATCTATAATTATAGTAAAGCCTACCAAAGATTGTTCGTATACAATATGGTTCAATCGGTCCAAAAAATGTCCTCAGTAAATATTTATTTAAAGAAATGCTACAATTCCAAACAGTTTTTCGCTACAGATATGGCGTGTTGCCTATGAAGGGTGCTGCTCTTAAACGTAATGTGTTGTGTTCACTCGTGTGCTGTCTAGATCTAGATCTACGGAGGGTTATTGATAACGACACATAGAACTGGCATCTGCGTTTGTCACTGCTGCGACCAATGTACTGACACTGGCAAAGCCCCTTAATGTGTGTGATTCCATAATTTACATGTAATATCCTGTCCTTTTTTTTTTTTTAATTACGCACATTTAGGGTTAAAACAGCCCATCTTCTTCGGACAGGTGGACACACGCCCTTATTTGTTAATGTTTGTTGTTGTTTATGGGCTGTTCTAATTTTGATTTCTTTCTGTTGTGAAACCTTTCTTTTTCACGTTTTTACACTCATCTAAAAATCTCTAGACTAGCTCTTGAAAATTGAAATAGATATAGACCCAAAAATTTGCTCCTGTGTGTGTGTGTGTGTGTGTGTGTGTGTGTGTGTGTGTGTGTGTGTGTGTATGTATGTGCGTGTGTGAGTGTGTCTGTGTGTGGTAGTAAGTGGAGAGTGAGGAGTGTGTGTGTGTGTGTGTGTGTGTGTGTGTGTGTTTTCGGGCTTTATTTCAGCCTGTATTCAGTAACAGTTCAAAGTATACAAAAATAGAAACACAGGATCCATTCACTCCAGGGCTCATGAGTCGTTCGTCTCTTTCAGTTTCCCTCATTCATTCAATTCCCGTGTTCTCTCCCGCGGCTCATCCCTGTCCGCATGACTTTCTTCATACCCCACCCCCTCCCTCCAGGCACACACAAAGAAAATATCATTCTTTCCTTTGCACCCTGCGAACCATGGACAATAATATAAGCAAAACACTGCCTGAGCTGCATTCCTTTCTTTCGTGAGCTGTGGACCAGGCCAGGGGGTCGGTGTCGTCGTCTTGTCTTGTAGTTGCTGTCGCCTGTGGATACACTCGCACATTCTTCCTTTCACCCGCTCTTTCACTCACACTGTCTCTCCGTCCACAGCTCAGCTCGTCATACGTTCAAAAGTTGCCCACTGGTCATGTTTAGTTAGTGTGTGTACATGTGCATGATGGTGGTGGGTGTGTGGTGGGTGTTACTGAAGGTTGTCTGTAGGCGGGCTTGCCATGCGGTGTTCCTTCCCAGACCAGAGGCCAGAGGCAGAATGAAAGTTGGCGCCGAACTCTCGCAATAAATAGACAAAAAATCATGAGACCGGAAGCCGGAAACCGTTCGGAGAAATAAAGATCGGCACTATTTCTCCGAACGTTCGGAGAAATAGTCACTTCGTAAATTTAAAGCTTGCTCATTTGTCTTACTTTCGGTTTAAAAAATGGGAGTGTATACAGACCTGGTAACCGGGAACAAAGTCACAAAGTATACAGACCCGGTAAAGGAACTCTTTTGTGATTTCGGAGAGTTTCAGCGCCCTCTTGGCTCAGGGTAGACCTAGGTTCTTCTAGATCTATGGTCTAGACCTAGATCTAGATTCTAGATTCTAGATCTAGACAGACAGACTTAAATCTTTGATCTAGTTTCGCGGCTAGCCTAGAGCCTAGATCTAAATGAAGATTGCGGATGTCTCTTCGATGAACGATCATTTTTCCTCCGTTTTGGAGTTGGATGGAGGAATCACAATTTGAAGAAAAGAACAAGTTACAATGTCATAATTTCAATCGAGCAGTCCTCTCTCTCTCTCTCTCTCTCTTTCTTTCTTTCTCTGTGTATCGCTTGCCTTCTCTTTTTCTTTGTTTGTTTCTGTCTTTCTTTGTCCCCACCTATTTCCCACTCTATCTTTCTCTCGTTCCCTCCTGCCAACTGGGGCATGTCATATACATTTTGCTAGCAACCCCTCCCCCCCCCTCTCTCTCTCTCTCTCTCTCTCTCTCCCTCTCTCTCTCTCTCTCTCTCCCTCTCTCTCTCCCTCTCTCTCTCTCTCTCTCTCCCTCTCTCTCTCTCTCTCTCTCTCTCTCTCTCACACACACACACACACACACACACACTAGATTTCTACCGGGTCTGGGGGCTGAAACTTCCCGAAATCACAAAAGAGTTCCCCTACCGGGTCTGTATACACTTCGTGACTTTGTTCCCGGTTACCGGGTCTGTGTATACACTTCGTAAAAAAATACTCACCTATCATCATGAATAGTTCTAGAATATCTAGATCTATATATATATCTAGATCTAGATCTAGACTAGAAGTCAGATATTTGCAATTTCAGAGGCAAAATTAGTAAGGAAATGACCCTCAAAATTTTGTATAATTTCCTCAGCTCGAGAGCCCATGGAACTGATCTTTTAGGCTAGATCTAGATATAATAGATACCTGGGGAAAAATGCCAGTTCCTTCGTTTTCATTATTTTGACGAGTGCATGATTTCACCACTCCACTACAAAACCGTTCAAAAGCACACTCATAGGACGGTGACTTAAATATGTCACGTTCACCTCCCTCAGGTTCACGATCACAGAGTCATGGCACTTAAAATAGCAACAAGACAATGAACCAGTCACAATTCACTTGAGCACTCCGCTGGATTGCGGCTCTATTCGGTAGGAGCACATTTGGGATGTGCCGTCTTATTAATATTAATGTATCGCCAAACTCTCTACAAGTATCGTCATCGCTTGGGTTATCCCAAAGAGCGATTTACAGGTCAGGTTTCCACTGTTGACTATCCTGTTATGTTTAGATACAGCGCATGAACTTAGGCATGGCATAGGAGATGTTTTACGGTGCTGTAGAATAGAAATGAAAGTTACGGCGCCAGCGAGGGCCTTGTTTTGAAATAATATTTGGCTAGTATTTGTTTCTGCCGTCTTTTATTTTATTTTTGTGGGTGCATTACGTCATAGAACATTAAAACATTTTGGACGGCACTGCACGACCGTGCTCTATGGACGAACCGCGCCTGGCGGTACCACTTGTGGCTGTGGCCAGATGACACGCCTGCCACAAAAAAACTTTCCATTATAACGTTCACTGTCACAGTAACTTTTGAACGGACCTAAAAGGATTTCATTCCTCTTGATTCTTTGGTGTTGGATCTGATATAACAGGACTTTTTCTCTGGTCCCACCATCCCTGTTATATATCAGGTTTCCACTGTCAATTCTGAATGGTTGGCTTTACTTATACTGAGATGAGACACATGTTGATGTTGCTTGGAATCTGTGCAGAAATATTGGGAGTTCTGTCACCCCTTTCATGACATAGTTTTTTCAACTTTTACTGCTCTCAAATTTTGCCAGCCAGGGTGGTAAGCAGTTTTAGTCATTTTGTGGTAGCTTTCAAAAATCAAATTTTATATGACAAGTACATTTTCATGATGAGAGGTTTTAAATCTTTCATTATTTTTCTGATTAAATTCCGTTCAAAGCTGTATTTTAGAACAGTCATAAATCCTGTGTGGTACATTTTAGGATGTATTATTGTATGAGGATGACATCTAGGCTGACAATATTAGACATACAGTGTGCTAGAGCTGTCATGAAGGGGAATAGTTAAAATCAGAGGAATTTTGTCAATACTTAATTATTCTTTTAAGTCAACCATTTTCTCACAACTTATTACATGTACAGTGGAACTCGGATTCAACGAGGTTGCTGGGCCTGACCTAAAATCTCGTTGAATCCGAGTGTTCGTTATAGCAAACATGAGGTTTTGTGTAGATAATTACAGGCACTGAGCAAGTAATGTATAAAGAGAAGTCACAAATAGTGCCTGAAATGCCCGCATATAATATGAGCTGTGTAAAAAGAAAAAGACCGATTCGTTGAGATGCATTCCTGTGTCATCTCGATTGTTTACCACAAAGTTGTGTTGCTGTGTAGATCCTAGCATAACGGCAACTTTTGATTTCATAGACAAGCGCACAATTCATTACGAAGATCTACGTCAAGACTAGTTTATCATTGTAATAATGATCAGTTGCCGAGGGGAAAAAAAGACTGTGACGCGTTTGTATCTGCGACGTTCAAAGCCCGGATCGCTAGTGCGCCCCCCTCCTTCCCTGACACACACACACAGTCACATGTGTGTAGGCCGCCCATCCGACTCCGACACACGCCAGAGTAGACACGTGCACGTGTCAACAACGCATGTGTTGGTATGAATAAAAAGGCCGCAGATTGGCCGCATGCAATCGGCTAAGTGAATAATGGTTCATGATGCAGTTGCAATGGATGGTTTCTGGGAATAGATAAAGTTCGTTCTGGGAGAAAAATGAGCGAAGCCACGTCTGTGGGGGCAGTTCTCCCTGGAAGCGACCTCGTTGAATCCGAGCTCGCTGATTTAAGTGCTCGTTGAATCCGGGTTATTTTTATTGATTTTAAAGAAGAAAAAAAAACGGGGAATCTATCTCATCTCATTGAATCCGAGTTCTCGTTGAATCCGAGCTCGTTAAATCCGAGTTTCACTGTATTTGTGAAGCGGCGTGGTGAAATCAGGCACTCGTCAAAATAATAATAGAATTTAAAAAACTGACATTTTTCTGCCAGTTTGGCAATTTTTATCAAACTTTTGTTTTTTGGCTTAAAATCATTGTTATCCAAATAAGAGCACATTTCTGGGTGGATTTTACTTGAAAATGTTAATTAAAGGCACAAAAAAATTAAAGTTTTCTGTGTTTATGGACTATCAAGCTATGGAACAAAACTTTGCCGGCTATTTTCTCGCTAATTCTGCCTTAGACACCAGGCGACCCCACCTTCTTCAATCTCAAATGATATGTTGATTTCTATTCAAGATAGATGGGCATTTTTTTCACAGATAGCAAGATAACTGAACAAGCTTTAAGATGATATCAATAACTCCACATGCCCAAAAATTGAAGAGTGCCTGATTCCAACTCGCCATGGCACATTTTATGTTTCATTCTTTGAGTAGGTGAAAGGGACACCCTTTTTTAGTTTTAAGAAACTTCGAAATACTCGTTTCTTTTTAGCTTATGTTGTACAGTTAAACACTGTTTTAGTATAGCTTATTAAACTGCCAACCATGGGACGAGCATGAAGTTTGTTTTGTGTGGGGCTGATAGTTTAACAGGGTTTTGAGGCTGTCCTTTGTATAGATAGCACAAACTGTCCTACATCAAGGGAAATGATTCTACTGTGATTTGTGTTTGAAAAGTGTCTTTTTGTTGGTTAACTATTTAAATCACACCTGAGAGTGTTAAGTCTCTCTCTCTTTCTCTCTCTCTCTCTCTCTCTCTCTCTCTCT